CTTCCAGCACGGAGAACAAATGATTCTACAGCTCAGTTTTTCTCTCTTTGGCATATAGGGGTTGTCAGATTGACAGGAGCATAGAACTGAGAGAGAATATATTACTCCATGGCAGAGATTATGCATTTTGAGAGGAAAATTGGCATTAGTTAAAATCCCTTTAATAGTGCAGTGTGTGGAATCGGAAACCAATGTCTCTGGAGCTCCCAAAGCAAAGCCATCTAAACTGAAAGAGGGCAGGGTAGTTTATAGAGAACCAAGCACGTTTCTTTTTAATGCTGCAGTCCAAATTCCTGCAAAGTTCTCCTTGTTGTATTATTTGACTAATTAATTTTCATCACTGGTTAGCTTAGTTATTTTTTTCATTTGTTTGAGTAGGTATGTCCTGTCCCTTCTGATTTTTATGAGCCAGTGAGTTCATTTTCAGGGAGATGGGAGAATTTATAATTTGCTGCAGTAACTGGTCTAATCATTCTCAAACTTACCAAGCTCTTGTCATGAGGCAGCCTCTTCAAATGGAGGAAGGAAAAGCTGCACGTTTGGATGTTATTTTTTTTTCTACCCCCAACACAGCTGTATAACTGGGACTGACGCTAATTAGTAGATCAAATTTTAGGTTACAGATGCTAAAACCAAAGCAAAAACTTTGTGTAGCTCACTAAAGAATCTTAAAATATCATCTATAAATAATTCTAAGCTTCGGCTTTTGAAAGCAAGAATTGGCATTTAGTGTCTCTTGCTGGCAGCCTTGCCCCTTAACTTCAGCATTTGGAATCAGCTCACATCTTAACAGGTATTAAAACGGTTTTGGGAAAACAATTTTGAAGCACAAGTGGTCTCCCTAGAGACAGGGAAAACTATTATCTGTAATTCTTAACACAAAGCAAAGAGTGGACTTTAGAGATCAAAAATTGTTATTTGTACTATGATGTAACTTGAAGGGAAATCGTGATTCAGATTTGGGGGGAGTGTGGAATTGGAACGAAGTTTAGGATTAGCTGCAATGAATTTTAAAGAACACCTAAAGGAGGTCCATCAAGGTGTATTAATGATGGGCTGTGAGTTTTGTGCGTGTGTTTTGTTTTCTTAAACAATAAATGTTAGTTATCCCAAACGGAGTTTGTGTGATTAACTGCCTCTCTGTTTCCACTCCAGGGTTACACCATTCCCTTAGACAAGCGTCTGGCTGCAGACGGCCGAGGACTGCAGACTGTTCATATCAATGAAAACTTTGCCAAGCTTGCTGAGGCGCTCTATATCGCTGACAGAAAGGTCAGGTGGTTGTTAAACTGTTTTGCTACGTGCAGTTTTACCTTCTTTGTACGTTTAATTTCAAAATCAACTGGGAATGGGCTACAGCTTTTTGATTTGTCCTGCATCTTGGCTAACCTAAGACATCGGTGGCTCACTGTGGGTTAAATTATCGGAGGTGGTGGGTCGTGTTTCTCAGCTCTGAGGGCTGTGGCTGTCTGGCCTTGAATTTCCTCTTTGTGGCTTGATTCCTGCCCTGTTTTTCTGGAGAGCTCCATGACAGAAGATCCGCTTGCATCCCAGGCACTAACTTGCTGTCTTTTTCATGATGTCTTATGTGTGCAGGCTCGTGAGGCAGTAGAGATGCGTGCCCAGGTGGAGAGGAAGATGGCTCAGAAAGAAAAAGAGAAACATGAGGAAAAGCTCCGAGAAATGGCTCAGAAAGCCAGGGAGAGAAGAGCAGGGATCAAAACTCACGTTGAAAAAGGTACATTTCTTTGTTATTAAGATGCTATGGTTTTTCTTACCACTCTCTGAAGTTCATTTGGAGAAATAACCTGAGAAATTGTAATACCTGAATATCAACTGTAATTTCTAAGCATGACTTCTGTTCTTCACTTCTTTACTTGATGGTAAAGTTTGAGGTTGTGGCAGAAGAAAGCTGTGGTTTCCCATACGTTCAGCTTGCTTGAAGTGTAACATTTAATTAGTGCTACAGGTCACGTCTCTTCTGTAGAAGAATACTGAATTGAATCGCTGTGCCAATGTCTGGGGCATAGTTAATTCAAACTTCCAAAACTTATCTATAATCAACAATCTTGCATTTGTTCAGAGGATGGAGAAGCTAGAGAAAGAGATGAAATCAGACATGACCGGCGCAAAGAGAGACAGCACGACAGAAATCTTTCCAGGGCAGCTCCTGACAAAAGGTGAGTCTCCAAAGAAAACAGCTTTATTCCTGTAGTGGCCCAGGCTGCCCCACTGGGGAAACTGTTACACTGGGCTTCCTTTTGCTCGACGTGAATGCCTCAGTGTTACCTTGTGGAGATACTCACTGGTACGAAGCACTGTTCGTTCATTGTCTGAAATGGCATTACTGGGTTAGCACACTGCGGTACTCTCTTCGAAATTTGGCATTTTCCAGATGAATGGAGGAGAGAGGGTGTGTTAAGTTTTGCATGGGTTCTTCTTTAGCAGAACTTCAGTATCTTGAAATAACATGTTGACAGCAAAGGTTGAAACCTGGATCCTATAACTTCAGTGAGACCAGAGTATCAGTAGTGGCTTTGTTTCTTGAAGCTGTCCATTTGAACTAAGCTTAGGTTTATGAGTGTAGGCTAAAGTATCTTCTTTGCCCAAGCCAGTGTGATTTCTGAACACAAATGGTTTCTGGAGGCTTAAAATCTCCAATATCTTAAAATTAGATTGCTTGGCCTTTTACAGAATACAATTACACTGCATCTTGCAAAAAATAAATACAGTATTTTAGACCAGGTCAGCTTGATGTAAATTACAGATAGTGAAAAGCAAATTTAAACACAATGCCCAGCTGAACATAACTTTCCCAAATGTTTCCTGTGCCAAGAGACAAATTTTAAATGTTACCTAGTAAGGAAGGGCAACAGTCAGAATCTGGCTCCTGAGGCAAACTGTTAGTAACTACTGCAGGATCAGGCTGCAGTTGAGCATGTCAACAAATATGGTTTCCTGACCTAATAAAACTTGAAATTTTTCATTCAGGTCAAAGCTGCAGAGAAATGAGAACAGAGATATCAGCGAAGTTATTGCCCTAGGGGTACCCAACCCCAGGCCATCCAATGAACTCCAGTATGACCAGAGGCTGTTCAACCAGAGCAAGGTAAAAATACCTTTTCCCAGGTGTGTAGCTTTCTGTGAGAACATGCGTGTCCCCCCTTAGCAGGTATGGCCAGAATACCCACGGGACACTGGTCTCATGGCTGGTATGGGTACTCTCTGAAAGAAGGCTCTACTTAACTGGTTGGGAGATCTCCTTTATCCATAGCTGATGCAACAAAAATGCAATATTCTGAATGCATAACTGGATTAAAGTGTTTCTATTGTGTTTTTTCTTGCTGGGGAGCGGGGAGAAAGAAGCTGTTCTGCCTTCAGGGTGCAGTGACCCCATTTTCTTCTTTTGTACAAACGTTCTGTCTGAATAAGGAAAATTTGCTCCAAGGGAGAAGCAAGTAAATGCCTCCTATTCCCAATATTGCTTATGTTAAAAATCCTTCTGAAGATATAAATAGTTAACAGCAACATTTATTTTCCCTGAACTTTATACTATTCAGAGATGAAAAAGTATATTAGGCTTCAGAAAGTCCCTGAATAGACCTGCAGTTTGTCAATCATTCTTTTTCATGTCTCCAGTGAAAGGCTTGCAGGCAGAAGAGAAAGCTGATGAATGAAAAGTGAACGTAAACCTCTGTGTGATTTGGATCAGCTTAAATCATGTTTTCCAGAAATTCTAAATAATACACACTTCTCTGGGGTTGTACTTGGCTGTTACAGACAGCTGTACTTGCACAGCAGACTGAAACAATCCATTACTCTGAAACATGAATGGCCTGTAATTCTTTCTGTTGCTTTCTGGAAGAGCAGAATTGGCCCTGACCGAGGCTTGTGTCACGTTCTCTGGCCTTAATCCCAGCCCCAAAACCACTCATATCCTAATGAAGTGCTTGAACTCATCTGGCATCAATAGTAAATGATACAGTACCACCTTTATGTATCTGTGTGACACCATCAGTAGATCTTGGTTTTACTCAGTTGTGTTATGCTGCTGTTCTTCACAGGGTATGGACAGTGGCTTTGCTGGAGGAGAAGATGAAATTTATAATGTTTATGACCAACCTTGGAGAAGTGGCAAGGATATGGCCCAGAACATCTACAGGCCAAGTAAAAATGTGGATAAGGACATGTATGGTGATGATCTGGAGGCTCGAATAAAGACCAATAGGTAAGAAAATAAAGCTAAGAAATATTCTTAATTAGTACTCTGAAGTTACAATCAACTGAGTATTGCCTCTTCTCCTGCAGGTTTGTTCCTGACAAAGAGTTTTCTAACTCCGATCGTAACACCAGAGGGAGGGGCAGAGATGGACCAGTTCAATTTGAGGAGGATCCCTTTGGTTTGGACAAGTTTCTGGAAGAAGCCAAGCAGCATGGTGGTTCTAAACGGCCATCAGATAGCAGCCGCCCGAAGGAACACGAGCACGAGAGCAAAAAGAGGAGGAAGGACTGAATGCCTCTGCTCCTGGAGAGGTAGAGAAATGGACTACAAGCTTGGACTTCACGCAGAAAGCATTTTTAATATCAGAGGGGGATGGCGTTTTAAGGCAGCAGTTCACAACTCTTGCTGTGTGGATATATATGTACACATTAACTCTTCTACATAGGACAGCTGCCCCTGGAGAGTGGAGGAATGGAGACCACTTTGAAACATTTCAGAAGGGAGTTTAGCACTTTAGCAAGTGCTCTGACTTTGCCGATTCCCTGTTGCCCAGCATCTCAGGGTAAGAATGTAGCCCCTTCCTACAGCTTTAGTTTCTGTAGATAGCTGAAGCTTTTACTCCCTCTGTTAAAAGCTTTCCTGCTGTATGTAATTATTGTCTTATGCTGTAATGGATGCTAGGGAGTTTATGATTCAGTGTTTCTTTAGTGTGGCTATACAGTTTATTTGAACAAGGAGGGGAAACAGCTGGATTCTGTTTTAAAACAAATATTCATTCTTAGTTTCTCCGTAATCTTTATTTTAGTTTCTTTACATTTAGTGAAATAAAGCCTCCTTCCACCGCTCACTCACTTTGATTCCTTCTTTGACTGCGTCTTCTGCGGGGCTGCTGTTTGAGAGCGAGCTGAAAACAATGGAAATTATTCCAATTAGATAGGCAAGAAGGTTTGGTATTTTTCATTTTGGATCTTCTAAAAAACATTCACATGGAAAGCAGAAGATGGGTTTATAACCAATTCAGTTTCCTAAGCCATAACCACAATGGGAAAGCTGAATATTATTTGCACAGCAATTGCTAGTCCTGTGAGGCAAAATGCATCTTAAAAGCTTGTGCTTTCAAGTGGAACTAATAGAAGGCAACTGTCTAAACCAAGTCTAGAACAAAGTGGGAGAAGCGCTCGTGTATTTTGCTTTTAGAGAAGCCTGCATTTTTGAAGACATGAAGAAAGCTAATGACTGCCTGCCTTCTGCTTTTTATTTCACTACAAAGAAGCCTCTTAGCTCCAGCACCTCTTGTGAGAGTACAGTCCTTGAAGCCCAGGCACTGCAGTGAGTGTGGCGATCTTACAGCTTCAAGAATAAAAAGCAGCACAATAATTTCCAAGAAATTGACACTAAATACTCATCTATGCTATTCTTAGTACTTACTTTGATTGCAGACAGATAACATCCTGGTTATTTTCAGCCCAATTTATGAGAGATCAGCCTGTGGCCTGGCTTGTCACAGTTTAAGACTGAAGTCAGGAAACGGCTCTTTAATTTTTGCTTCCATTTTTGCACCACAGCTGTAACTCTCAAGCCATGGTCTCCTTGAGAATAGGTACTGAAGTAACCACAACCAATGGAGACTTTTGCAGTGGTATGAACTGTATCACACTGCATCCCTGAAGTCTCTTGGCTATTCACCATCTCGGAGCATTGAAAGTATCAAACCAAGAAGCTAGTTGTCAGAAGGAGAGTGAAGAATTCTTACTAGTTATTCTAAGGCATGAATTGATCATGTCTGTTTTACCAGCCTGCTTGTGGCTCATGGTTTCACTCTGTCCTACTGCGTTGCCAGGTCAGCTGAAGCACACACAAGTCCCCAATAAAATCCCCCTAGTAATCTGCCTGATTTAGTGAACGTACCAGATACGAGTTTGTAATGATTTTGACATGAGATCTGTTTGTTAATTTATTAGGGGCTGTGGGCTGCCATTGACTCACTGTCCTTTTATCCTTACTTCTCAACACCACTGCACACTACATGTTTTGAATGCTGTGCCATTTCTTTGCTGCAGTGAAGTTACAGTTGCCTGGCACTAAGTGACCAGTCAGTGACAGACACCTTTGTATGGGTACAAGACCAAAGGTTTTTAACTAATGGTGTACACTGTCTCTTTTGAGATTGCTGGTGTCCTATTTTTTTCCTTTACTAACATTTAAAATATTAGAGCTGTTACATAACTTTAAGTTAGTGTAGCTTTTTTCTTTTAATGCATGAAAGCAGGCAGCTGACTTTTTCTATACAAAACAAGAGCTGAAGAAAAAAAAATAAATTTCACTAAAGTTCAAAGCTTAGCTTTATTTTGTCATCTTCCCCCTGTCCCCCAGTATCCAAATTCAATGTTGGAATCCACCTGCAGAAACCTGTATTACAAACAGTAACTAGTTGTGTGGCAGTTCCTGAACAGTTTCACTCTATTCATATTCATTTAGCTTAGCACAGCAGGTGGTTTTGATCTCTGGACTGTGATCTCTCTGGTATCTACATGATCTCAGATGCAGACTAGTCAAGTTGGGGGGGGAATAAATACAAATGTTAATGATTTAAAAAACATTAAAAGCATACTAAGTGGCAAAATGCTTAATCATACTTGGAACAAATATGACAATATATTGGTGTTACTGTGTCCAACCAAATGCAGAATTGAAGAGCTCAACTCATTACATTACTTCATTAGAATAATTAGCACATTACCTTGGCACCTTCAAGTATGTGGGAGTCCTTCTGAAGCACATTCTGAACTTCTTGTGGAGTTGAGAATTTAATCCAGCAATAACGTCTGTGAAAGCCTGTTTCTTTGTCCTAGTTAACAGTTAAAAAAAAAAAAAAATCCAATTACTGTAGAAAATATTCACAGAGGCTGTTAAAAACTTGCTACGGGTATTCAGTTTAGCAATTCAGAAGTTATCAGAGAAATCAGCACACTTGCTGTTTCAGAAGCTTTTTCACACTTCAAGATATTTACTCTCACTGACAGCACACGGGGGCCTACCAGGGACTGTTCTGCATCCCTTTCTCTCAATTTGAGTCCTACAATCATTAAAAAAATTTAAGATTTTAAGTTACAGTTGAAGACTGGAATAATGCATAGCCAGTCGTTTCAAACTGCAGTAGTTATCTACTATTAAGCCAGTCACAACAGAATTGACATTTAAACGACTGCCAGATTTGAAAATAAGCCTGCCACAGTACTTGAAAAGCATTCAGCAAGGTAAAGCTGCTGCTTAAGACACTAAGAAAGCAGGCTGCAATTCGAGATGACAAGCACTAACTGCACTGAAAAGAAAAAAAAAAGGTTACTTTTAAGAATAATTTGCCAGTCAGAAAAGCCAGTTCTCAATAAAGAGGAGAAAATGCAGAAAAGCCAGGATCCCAGCTGTGATCCCCATCGCAGCTGCCAACAGCTCTGCCATCGAATTCACCCATCATCAGGCACGACTGGCAGCACTTCCAACCCTTCCAAACACCGGTGACGTTTCCACCCACGAGGTACTGTGTGGAGTCACTCTGCCCGGTACCAGGATCCTACTGATGTCTTAATTAGGGTGCCTCATGCTGCTGGCAGATTTTTGTACCTCTGGCAGTTTTAAGCATTAATGAACGCTCCTCAAGTAATCACTGAATCAAAACATACACACGTTACATCAGTTCTGCTTTAATCAGCGACAGAGGCAGGTTTTCAGTAACCTGCCAGCCTTCACAGTGAAGCAAGGCCTTCTGTCCTGGGCCTGAGGAACGGAGCCCGGCAGGCAGACACCTAGGCTTCGGTGTTCAGGAAGAACCAAACTCTCCCAAACTATGTTTCTCCATTTCCAAACTAGTCCTCACCTCTCTGACGTTCACTACACACTGAGCTTGATACAAGAGATCATTGCCTCACATGGAGAAACAAAAGCAGGCAGAAGCTCTGCTCCTTCAGCAATGACCTGCAACTTCTCCACAACAGAGGGGGAAAGGAAGACTTTCTTTTCACTGTTCACCTCTAACAAACTGCACTAGATATTACTAGATAGTATCCCTGGCCTGCGTGCTCAGAAGATAAATAACCTGAGCAACAGAGGCCCGAGCAGCTGACAGCTTGGGAGCGTCCTGAAGAAGGTGCAGGTTTTGTGTTCCCTCCCGCACCCTGGATGGGGTATGAACCTACAGCTTGAAAGAGGTGGTAGGTTCATACCCACACTTTTAGATTTTTCTAGGCTAGTGAGACCAGGTACATAAATGCTTTATTCCTTGTCAGAAGAAAGATAACACGATGATACAGGAACCCAAAACATGTTTAGGGTTATTATTCAGGAACAGCAGCATCAACGGGATCTGAGGGACGTGCTCTCTACAGCTCTTACAAAGCCAGTGGAAACCTCTGAGCTTCCAAGAGGCTTACAAGCAGACAGGCAGCGGCACCCCCTAGGAGAAAGGGACTAAGGGTGGAGAGAAACCTGACCAGAGCACCGAAAGAGGCTTCCAGAAAGCAGCTCCGAGGGAGGGGGGAGCCGGCCTCGGGGCAGGGCCCCATGGGCAGGACCAGCCCAGGCCCAGCGGGCCCCAGCCGGGAGCTCTCCCCGGTTTGACCGAGAAAACACAAAGAGCGGCCTGGAGAAGGGGTGGGTACTCACAAACGGCAGCTGGCACCTCTGTACCGACCCGAACTGGGAGAAATACTCCTTCAGCTCCTCTGTGGGGGAAACGCACACATGGTTACGCGGGCCCGGTGCAGCCGCGGCCCCCTCGCCCTGTGACCGGCACCCGCGGCGAGACCGCCTCCTCCCACACCGGCCCCGGCGGGGGATGAGGGGAGCGGCGCAGACTTACTGCTCGACACCGTCCAGGGAACCTCAGCCACGAAGATGTCGAAGATCCTCCTGGAGCGGCGCCCCGCCGCCCGCACCGCACTGGCCGCCGCCATCTTGGGAGCTGCGGCGGGAAGGGGGGGTGCCCCGGCCCCGCCCAACGCGCAGCGCCGCCCTGCGCCCCTCGGCCAAAATGGCGGCAGCGGCCCTGACCCGGGAGGGCGGGGAGGACGCCTTCCGCCGGCTCTTTCGCTTCTACCGACAACGCGACGTGTCGGACTTGCGTGGGGTGGTGGATTTCTCCGTACCGGGGGGCCAGGTAACGCCGGGCTCCTCTTGCCCTCGCCCCGCGGCGGGGCTGCGCTGCGAGCTGGTCCCGTCTTCCGAGCGGCGTGGCGGCGTCCGGTGTGGAGCTGTGGCGGGGTTGCTGCAGCTTCTGCTCCCCGTCTGCTGCTGCCCTTCCTGCTCGACACCACGTCTCTCGTGCCGTCCCGTTACGGGCTGTAAGATGGTGTTCTCTAACGCTGAGTCTCCTACGGGTCATTGTAACCTTTAAAATGGAGTTGTGTGACTAGAGGGGAGCGGCGGGGGGGGCCCCCTCTGCCCCACGGGCCCCGCGGTAGTTTCCCCAGGGTCCCTGGGGGCCGGCTGCCCCCGGGGTTACGGGGCTCTGTTTGAGGGTACTCGGTGCCATCCCGACCAGCACACTGACTGGACACACACTTACAGCTTTTGCTTATGTTTATTTATTCCCTTCGTGTCAAACTAGCTCTGCACGCTGCAGTAAGTGGGGCCCAAAGCCTCTAAAAGAACCGCGTGTAAGGTCGGGGAAGCGAAGGAACACGTGGATGGAAAAAAGCAAGTTTTGCTCTCAGAGCTGGCACCATTTTCTGGGCCTACTGGTTCTTGTCTGGGCCCTGAAATACCCAAGGCGGGCAGAGAGGGAGCCGGGATCAGCTTCCCCCGCTGGGCAGCGTGTGCCCAGGGTCCTGGCTGGCTTCCCCTTGGTAAAGAGCCTTCTGCTTTCTTACACCTGTGTAATGAGCGTTGGGCTTAGCCATCAGGGCAGCTCCAGCCATTGCCATCAGGCACACAGCTGAAAGCAGCAGCTGTGGTGAGTAGTTAACCATGACTTGAGTGATGGAGAAGTGATCCTTTAAACTCATCTTCTGTTTTGTCACCTCCCAAAAGGATAGTGGATACCTGCTGAAGTGTTGTTAACCAGGGATTTTCTCTGCACGAGTCTATAGGTAAAAAGGGAGTAGGGAATATACTTAAAATGAAACTTTGCCTAAGTCTGTATAGTTCAAATGCTTAGCCTTTTCTTTTTTCTGTTCTATTAGAATATTGATTTTTTCTGAATTTTCAGACTATAATTTTGATATTTGTAACAGGCCATAAAACCTAACCCATATGAAATTGTTCAAGGTGCTAGCATGAAACAAGGGATTTGTTAACATTTCAGCCTTTCCTGAGTTTGTAGCAATCCTTTATAGAATAAAGGATTCTAGCATTACAGCCCTTCTGGGAAATTCAAAGTACTTGAAGGCATCACAAGCATCTGTCCCATCTCTATGTCATTCTTTTTGTGCCTGTTACCCTCTAAGATGAGTTGATAGCTTACTAGTGAAAGCATCTTCTATTCGTCTTTCCCTCAGGTTTAAAACATCTGGCCTTTTCTTTTTAAGAAGAGCTACAGGCCAGGCAGGCTGGCCCAGATATTATTGTTCCCTTTCTCTCAGGAAACTGCTTCAAGTGATTGAGCTCTTCAGTGAAGTGCGACGTACCCCAGCTGCCCTGCTGCCAGGCTTATTTAACTGATTCAGCAAATGTAATTCTTCAGCATAGAAACAGCTCCTGTTCTCCAGAAGCCCTGGAAGCAGATGGTGTGTAAGCAGTTTGAGAAGGCAGAGAGGTGGCCGAGTTGTAGTCAAAAGGAAGAGCCTTTCTGGGGACATTCTGCAGACAGGACTCTGAACTAAGCTCTTCCAGTCTGGTAGTCACAAAGCTGCTTTTAGCAGAGAGCTGAAAAATTGGTAAAACTGAGCATGTTGCCAGAAGCTGCTGCCCAGCACTAGTTTAGAGTTTTCTTACAAATTCTATCTACCTTGTTTAGAGCTGTTGCTCAGAAGATGTTAACCAGAGCTGTTAGCCTGCAGAGAGACTGGTTTACACATTCACCACTGCAGAGTCTTAATTTCATATACACTTTAAGTTGTCTTAAACAAAGTCATGCCTGTCTCTGCTTGCTTATTCCCACTGTGCCTGGCTAGCTCTTTTCTAAAATGAGCCTGTACTTCTGCACAGCCACGTGGAGAGCTGGACTGGGGAGCTAAACCAGAACAAACCTGCCCCTGCCCTTCCCTAAGATGGTTCCCAGTCTAAAGGAAAGAAGGGAGTGGGAACACAGTGGATGAGTTTGGTTTTTTTCAGCAAGCATTGGCTTATTGCAGCTTAAATGCATGTATTATTGTGACCCAAGAAAATACGTCTTGTTAAGCCTCAAGCTGTTGACCCTGCTTTTGGAAACAAAAGTGGCAGCGTGGTTGTCAGAATTCACAGGGTTTCTGCAGTCTTTTGCATCAGACAACTTTGGCCACTTCATCACTGTACTACTACTCATTCTGTAAATTACAGATGAGAATAGTCATTGGCCCTATGGGATCATGAGCAACTTGTATTTGGAACATTCTTTGAAGATGTAAAGTGTTATGGGTACTAAATACTGCTCTCTAATGGAGATTGATAATTACCAGATGAGGCTGTACTGTGGATATGGACAGATAGTGCCGAATTTTTTTCTCATTGGTATAATTGTTTGGGGTTTTCTTATGAATGGAGGGCATCTCTCCTAATCCTGAAGTATTGTGTAGGTACCTTTTGATGCTTGTGTTGAGTACACACTAGCTCTGTTAGCAGCATGCCCTGTTCTGATCACAGTTGCTCAGACAATAGTTCTGTGCTGCAGTTGGCATTTTCACTTACCTTGGAATATGGTAACACTTTCTTACAGGTGCTGGTTTTGGATGCTTTTTGTACTTTTTCTTTTTTTTTTTTTTTTTTAAACCAGATCTGTTTTCTTTTGCCAGGTGTTCAGATCACAGCTCAGTATCTCTTCAGTCAGTGATCAAGATGCCTACAGAGCAGGACTACAGCCAGTTAGCCAGTGGAAGGCCTATGGCCTCAATGGGTATCCGGGTAGGTACTTCTGGTTTCAAGAAAATTTAAGTACAACCTTGTTGCTTTAGTTTCAGGCATCTTCCATCTTACACTCCTTGCCTTGCCTGAAGAAGCTGCTTTGGTTTGCCTAAGTGTACCTTAATGTAAAATCCAGGAGGACGAACGAGTCGGCTAAAGGGTGGGAAATGAAGGTGAGAACAGAAGGGCCAGTTGTTTCACAGTCTCTGACCAACCAGACCATCCCTCATGAGAACAGATTCCTGTTGCCTTTGATAGGTATCTTATATTTCTATAGCATCTACTTTTCCTCAACATAAATAATGAAAATTAGATAAGTGACTGAAATACAGTCATTTCAATGCATCTACTTGCTGATGTAGAACACAGAGCACAATAAGCGAATAAGAAACTCTTGTCCTGTTCAAGGTAGAGAGTAATTTAATTCAGCAGGTTATTCCAAAAACTGAAGTGGATCTTAGGTTTGCAGGTCTCCTGGTAGAGCCACAGAAAGAGGTTAAGTTGGAAGGGACCTCCAGAGGTTTCATCCACCTTCCTGCTTAAAGCAGGGTCAAGTTGAAGGTTAATCAGGTCGCTCAGAGCTTTGTATGGGTGAGTTCTGGAAATCTCCAAGAATAGAGATTACACACCCTCTCTGGGCACCTGTTCCAGTCTTCAGCCACTCTTGTTGTGATTTTTTTTCACCTTTTATCTAACCAAAATTTGCCTTGCTGTAGTTTGTGACTGTTGCCTCTCTTAATCTTGCTGTTCACCTCTGAGAAGAATCTGGTTCTGCCTTCTCTAATGCCCCGTTAGGTAGCTCATACTAATAGAGGCCCATGTGTAATCAGCCTTTATTGCCGTGAGGGTGCACAACTGGCACATGCTCAATGTGTCCTCCAAGACCTTGGTACGGAGCTGCTTCCTGGTTCCCAGGTCACTGCCTCATTCTTCTGCTTTGTCAAGGAAAACCTCTCACTAAAATGAAATGCAAATACCTTAACAAATTCTCAGTCCTGGTTAGAATCAAGTCATGTGTGGACAAGAATAACATTTTGTCCTTTTCCTGACCTTTAGCTGGACATCCTAAAGGTAACCTAAAGATATTTAGCCAACTGCCCCAATAGCCCTCTAGAATAGGTTAGAATTTCTTTAGTTTGTCTGTGGGCAATTGGAAGGGAAGTCACTCAGTTTTGTCCTCACAGCGAGCAGTGGAATATAAGGCTAAGGAAGCTGGATGAATTTATGTTGTGGTGGTCTGAATTCTGTGAGACGTGGATGATGCTGTCTTTGGGTCTTACTGACTCAAATTGGTTTTAGGAGGGAATGTTACTTTTGTTACATGTCTTATCCTTTCTTTAACTGAGGCTGGATACCATTTTCGCGAGGTGTCAGTTAATTCCTAGTGTGCTCCAAGATTTTACTGCAGTGAGAGAATTGCATCTGCTTCCTCAAGGCAGATTCCTTTATTATACAGATCCCCAAAGAATTTGTCTTTTGCCCATTCCGCTCAGACCAGCTCTTTCAATGCCACGAGGTTCAATTGTGTTCCCTTCAAGGCTTGTCTGTGCTGTTCTTTAGTTGGCTCAGAAAGATTGCTACAGAAGTATGTTTCTTACTCTTCTTCCTCCCATGTGTGATAAGTCACTGATTTCTAGCACCATTTACCCTACCAGGAACTATTACTCTTGAACAAGGAGGCTGAGGGAAGACTTCTTTGCTTTACAACTACCTGAAAGGAGGCTGTAGCGAGGTGGGGGTCGGTCTTTTCTCCCAGGTAACAAGTGATAGGACAAGAGGAGATGGCTGCATGTTGCACCAGGGAAGGTTTAGATTGGATATTAGCAAAAATTTCTTCACTGAAGGGGTTATCAAACCTTGGAAGAGGCTGCCCAGGGAAGTGGTTGAGTCACCATCCCAGGAGTTATTATAAAGATGGGTAGATATGCTTAGGGACAGGTTCAGTGATGGTTTTGGCAGTGTTAGGTTAATGGTTGGACTTAGTGTAGAATTTTATAGTAAAACTCTGCAACTGCCTTTTTTGACATCAGAAGCATGGCAGTAACCCCCATTTTAGTTGTTCTTGCTTCTGTAAATCTAGGTTAATGTGTAGAATTTTATAGTAAAACTCTGCAACTGTTAGAAATTCAGAGTTTTCTGCCTTTTTTGACATCAGAAGCATGGCAGTAACCCCCATTTTAGTTGTTCTTGCTTCTGTAAATCTAGGTTAATCTGGTTTCTTAGGAGTAAGCAATGGAGAGATGTGAGCATGTTCTAAGCTTCTGATGAGAGTCAAAAAATTTGGATTCTTGTTCTCAGCTCTATGTGTAACTAGCCCTCCAGGCTTCAATTCCTTCGTTAATACCTGGAGATAATACATGTATAGTAGAGCATAATTTCATGAATGTAGTGAAGTGCTTTGAGAACTCCACATCAAAAGCTGTAGATGGGAAGGGCAGTATTATTATTCTGCTCTATGCAGAGGCTAACAAAGTAAATTTAGTGCTTCTGGCAAGGAAACTTCTTGTAACCAGACCTATGAGACGGCTGCCGTAGTCTGAAGGTGCAGGGAATGGAGCGAAATGAATGACAGTATATTATTAATACACTGAACACTCTTTTTCTAAGAGTTAATTTAATCTTGTGGGGTCTGAGAGATATGCTGGCAGGAAGCTTTCTCTGTACTTTTATTACCACTTTCTTAAGGCCACAAGGCAAGTTTGTATCCTACTGAGACTCCTAGCCTTGCTTCTTCCTTTTTCATCTATTTTTGTCTCTGTTTAACTTGATATGACTGAGAAGTTCAAAAAGACACAGTTCTAAAACCTTGAAACCTCTTTTTCCTTTGTTCCTCATATAACCTTATCTCTCTTTGTGTGTGGATTTTGTGTTGGTGAGTCTTACTGAATTGTCTGTCTTTGAGAGAGTGCCTTGATTTTCAGAGTAGGTACAATACAGATTAATAGCGTCTTCCCGTCAGACATTCATTCATCAATACCGTCGACCCTGGCCTGGAAAGAAACACCCCTGGGATGCTGAGGAGAACACTCCAGTGAAGAATCCTGTTAGCACTCCTGGAGATGGCAGATTTTATGTCAAGGACTCTTGCCCGTTAAGATATAGACCAAATCAATCCATTACATCTCTGCTAACCCTCTTCTTTGGGCTGCTGCTCAACTTGGCCTGAGGTGCCTGGCTAAATGAATGTGCAGACTAGCTACATGTTTATTTTGTTTTGTTAATTAACAATGACTGGAAAGTATTTGTAGTCAGCAACAAACAGTTCGGGATATGATTTGACTTGCATCCCCTTTGTTGAGTATTGCCATACCCAAATAGAAAGGTGGATACAACCAGTCTTCCCTGGAAATGAAGCATGAAGCAAAGGAGTGGACAGTTTATGTTACTGGAGACTTGCTCAGCCTGTGGACTGCTCTCTGTAGTTCATGAGACCTGAAGTAGCAATAAGAAGACAAATACGAGTTCAGAGGCAGCGACAAGGGTAGTTTGAAATCTAGTAAAATCAGGCCAGAATTACTTTAATTTGCTGAGTCATTTCAAAATCAAATTTACTCCAAAGCAATTGGCTTTCCAAGTTCTGACTTCTTTATCTAACTGTAATCAATATGCCTTACACAGATATGTCCTTTATTGTCACTTTTCACTTGGGCCAGTGTTGGTTGCTCTCTTTGCCTTCTACCTTATGGCCCCCATTTGTTGGTAGTGAAAAAAACAATAGGTTTTAACTGTTCAGATCTGTTAATAGACTTAATCACCTTACATGAAAAGTCACTGGTTGTATGTCTAAGGTGTTTTTTCAGTACCACTGACACTTGTCCTTTGCTGTAGTTTTAGAAAAAAACAGGGAAATGCCTGATCATGTTTTCTCCCCACCACCCCCCTCTCCCTTTTTCTCTGTGCTCAGGGTTTATTTTCATACCAAACCCTTTCCTTCCGGGCTGCCAGCGGCACTGGGTGAAACAGTGTCTCAAGCTATACCCCCAGAAACCCAACGTCTGCAACCTGGACCTGCACATGGCTCCTGAGAAGACCATTGACTTGTGGGGACAGAGCAAGGAGCAGCTGAAGTAAGTCCACAATAACCTTTGGTGGCTAAAACTAATGGACCCAGAAGGTCTCAGCTCTGGGAAAGTCTAAGAAAAATGAGCAGGGAAAGGAAGCTGGAAAGATTGTGTCCGTGCTGGCAGTATACAGGTGGCATCAGACATGCCGAGTTAAAGATGGATTGTTCATGGTTTGATGTGGAGCCTTGTTAATTCTCTGCTTTAACACTCACAATGGGATTTCCTAGTAGCAAATTATTCCAAAGCTATCAGTCAAATGTAAAGTAGCGACCCTGGCTGATATCATGGTGCTTGGAAGCTTGCTAAGCTTAGCTAGAAGTGGAACTGTGAGGTCCCTCTAGGCCTCGGTTTGCTTGAGGCAAAAGGGATCCTTTCCAAACACCCCTCTCATGCAAGCTCTTCTTCCGTCAGCTGCTGGACCGACTACACTGTAATTGAAAGGCTGTTATCTGCAGGGATTTTTTTAACTTCTCAAGTCAGCTAGTTTCTGTGGTTTTATTTTCCAAAGTATTTCTTTGTTTTGGTTTGTTGTCTTTTTTATTTTTTTTTTCATTCAATCTGAGATAGTGATTAAATGTACCATTTTCATGGCAATCCTGGTTAGTCTGAAATATTCCTGACAGGTTCAGAGTTCTGTGGCTGATGCAGCTGCCTTTCCTCTACCTGATTTGGAAGTTAATGGAGAAGTTGTTCGAGTTTGGAAGTCAAGTAGAAACTTTTCAAATCAAAGTTTTAAAGGCTTTTTTTTTTTTTAAGTCACCTGTAAAAATACATACAAGATAGATGCTGCTTGCAGCGCACAATCTTTTAGCAGTTTGGTATTTATCATTACGTTGTGGATTTCACTGCTCATTATCCATTATATCATCTACAAGATACAGAATGGCAAAAGCAAGATTTGGACTTCTAAGTATTTACACCCAGGAGAGAAGTTATGCCCCCAACTTGTGTTTTCCAGGCTCAGTCAGAATTAGTTACAGAAATTCAGCCACCTTTTTTGTGTTTCATCAAGGATGAAAAATTGTTCTTTGAAAATATTGTGTGTTGTGCCCTACAGCTGAATAAAGTGGGGTGCTGTTCCAGCCTGACAGGCCTTTCCCAGCAGCACCTGCGTGCACAGAGAATGATCAGAACAGAGGTTAATTTGCAGCTGAATCCAGTTCAGTTGAAAATAGCGTTTGGAAGAGTGATGGCTGGCAGAAACACTGGCAGTTTATTAAGTACTTGCCTGAGTCTTCAAGTGAGCAAACTGCTGTATTTGTGCTTTTGCCTTGGAGACAGCGGATCAAACTAGCCAACTTGTCTAGTGTCTGGAGTAAGAGCCTTTCAGGGAGGGGAGAAACAGAGTGCTTAACTAAAAATATGTCTGCTGCTATGATTGGACACAACTTTAATGCTCTTTAGAGCCATCAGGAAGATGCATAAATATGCTTGGGTCATGGTTTATCTGCTTTTTTCAGGATGCAGGAATCACAAGGTAGGGAGATTCTGTACAGTGCCTAGAAATGCATGCTATGCTCTTCTCACAAAGGGGAGCTGGGGTATTTTGTTTAGTGCTGTGGACAATTAAAAGCATAAAAGGGAGTAGAGCATCCCTACAAGGGAGAGATACATATCCTTGCATATAAGGAAAAGGTTGGGGGGAATTTATAGATGCAATCATTTACCAGTGAATAAAGAAAAAAGGGAGCTTCGGACCAAAGCCCTCCTGCTGTTCAGTCTTGTTCTCTTTCTAACATAGTTATGCCAGGAGTTTTCTCTCCTTTCTTGTAGGAGCACCTGCTGCTACAGCTCTAGGAACTAATTGTTTCCAGATACATAACACTCAGCCATTCCTCTCCTTAGCAATCACATGTGAAATCACATGCAAAACACTCAGCTCTGGGAGTAAGAACCTACCAAGCATAATGGGCTTCCTGCTGTTGTGTAAACGGTCCAGCACTGTAGTGAAAGAGGAAGGGTGCTCTTAAAAAGCACATGCTAAAAATGTTTTATCATGGACATTAAATTTGGTGACTGAAAGATGTAGAAGAACGACTTCGGGGCTTTACCTTTTCTAAATGCTGTGTTACCTGGCTGTAGGCTCCATAAATTGTACCAAGCAGCATGTATTTAACAGTTACTGTGTTGCTGCATTATGGTAGTTGCAATTGCTATTAAACTGTAACAAAGATGAAAACTGAAAAGATTACTTTCTTCCAATAATCAGTGTCTATGAAAAATTCCTAAAGGTACAGAAACTGGCCTTTCTCTCCTGTTCCTGGTTTAGCGTAGGAGCTCTCAGTAGGGTTGAGGTGAAGGGCAGAAAGAGGCTGTGTATCCTGGTAGAAGTGCACATTAAATGCAGGTGCTTTGCTGAGACTTGACCATGGCAGCACAAATATGAATCCTGCTTTGTAAAAGACAGCATGTCTTACTGAACTAATGAGACTATAAATGAGAGCCAACTGTCTGGTGTTACTGGTTATCATCATGTTGTTCTGAGTACCTTTCCTTTTTCTTTCTTTCTTTACCGTAACACACGACTTAGCTTGAGGAAATAAGCTGAAATTTGCTGGAATAAGTGGACTAGAAGATAGATGTGTACTTTCCTTTTTGTATTTGTCACTAGCATGTTTCTGTCTGATTTACTATTGTAATACTCTTTGTAAATTTTTAAGGACTTTTCTGTAGGCCATAGTAAAAACCCATCCCTGAGGTTTCTTCCTGCCTTCAGCACCTTCAAGTAAGAATGTTAAATTGGTGTGTGGCCTCAGATCCCCGAGTCCCTCTGCATTAGGGTTGTCACTTGAGAAGAACAGTTTTTTGTCCTGCATAGCAGTGTGGATAGGAGATATATGACATCTAGAACTTCTTGACATCACAAGAAGCATATGGTCATAGCTAGAGCAGTCTTGCTTCTTGCTGAACATTGAGTCAGACCATCCTAAGGACTTCTTGTGAAAGTACCAAGCAGTAGAACTAACAGTCTTTTGCAGTATTATGCAGTTTGATGTGCTTCACTGTCAGGCAAAGCCTTTTCCTTTCTTGTCATTTTCCAGTAAGTTCCTAGAATATTTTTTCCTTCTGTTTGCAGCTTTTAGATCTTCACAGAGTCTGTTCTTTCAGGTGCTCAAATAGTACGTGCTTAATTCTGACTTCTTCTAAATCTGCACCAGTTCATTGTATTGTCTCCATCTGATAACGTATTATGTACATGTTGCAAATAGGAGCTTTCAAACTGACAGCAGCTGGCAGTAGGCCCTATAGCTTGCACAGATTGCATGAACTGAATTTGCAAGGTCTTTGGATGAAAAAAATAAAGGCACTGAAAATAAAAGTTTAGCAATGATGGTTTTAATAGGCTGTTACATGGATGAGTGAATTTCATTACTGCATGCTGCACTACCAGAAACCCCCTCAGAAATTAACACGTCCTATTTCTTTCCATTTTGCCTTTGCAGAAGGAAAGGTTCCGGTAAACGTGAGCCCAGAAGCTTATTGGAGAAGCTGCGCTGGGTGACCCTTGGTTACCATTATAATTGGGATACTAAGGTATTGAAATTAAATTCTTCTCCATTTTTCATAGCTGTAAGCACTCGGAATGGCAGACAGAGGAGGATATCGTGGAATAAAATGCTTATCCTACAAAACAGTCTTGAGGAAAGGCTCTAACAAACCATGCTTCTAAAACCATTTTAATCTGTATTGGTTTACTGTGAAGGATTTAAGGGCCAAAGTCCATTGCTGCATTCTTTCCTTTGAAAGGTAACATGGTAGCATATACTCAGCTCTAGACCTGCGACAATGTTCCGGGGTAAGTGAGCATTTTTACCCTACCACATGGATGGTTACAGAAGCATCATCAACTACTTAGGGTGAGAATGACCTTGGTGCTTGAAGACAGCTACTTCTAAGACACTACTCCTCTTTTGAGAGGTGAGGGCAAGCAGGAAGAGACTGCTGCTGATGGGACTCTGAACTTAAGAGTCTGAACCAGTATAGCACAGCCTCACCAACTAATAACTGTCCTGGGGCTCCTGACCAACATCAACTTTTTCATAAGACAGAGTCAGATGGAGGCTGAGACAGGATGGCAGAGTGAATATGCAGTCTTACAGTATACTGCAGATACTTAACCAAATCTGCTAGCAGCCTTATATTTACCAGATCAGCCCATTATTGGGTGATCTGACTAAAAGCTTGGTGATTCCCTTCCAGTTCTCTCAGAATCACTCATGGGAGAGAGAAAAAGTAGGTTTGCAAGTGATTCCTGATTGTCTTCAAAGAAGGAACAAAGATGCTTTTTTCAGAGCTCTGTCAATGAGATACAGAACTGTCTGTCTATTGGCAGCTTTAGGTAGTGACCAAGTAGATCCTCAGGATGTTGTTGCTAAACTTAGATATGAATCTTACTGACTTCAAGTTTGCCATCCAGATATAATGATTAAGTCCACAATTAATTAATCTCTGGCAGTCTCAGCATAGGCCTAGAATTAAATGATAAGAGGTAAACTTGCTGTAGTTCTACCTATGTTGTAGTCATTTTCCGGGCAAACATGATGTCCTTCTCCATGACTATCAGCCAAACTTTTGAGTTCTTATTCAACATCTCTGATTGTATTTGCTGCTCTGATGTTCTGGGTGTGGTTTGTTTGTTTTTTTTCCCTGTTCTCCTTCCTCCAGAAGTACTCAGCAAATCACCACACTCCTTTCCCCTCAGACCTTGCATTTCTGTCGGAACAAGTGGCTGCAGCCTGTGGGTTCCGGGGTTTCCAAGCCCAAGCAGGGATCTTGAACTACTATCATTTTGACTCTTCGCTGGGAATTCACGTGGATGAGTCTGAACTAGACCATTCTCGGCCCCTTTTATCATTCAGGTGAGTCAAGGAAAGCACATGAGTGCTGGGGAGGGACTGGTGGCTTTTATTCTATAGGAAGTTGGTATGATGTAGTTTGCTAATTGGCAATATAATCTTCACCCTCTGAAGTCTTGAATAGTAGGAAGCCGTAGCTCAAGGGCATGGGTTTTCTTTGAAGACTGCTTGAATAGCATGGATGTGGTGCCTGGAGTGGAAGAGCTCTTTGCGCCAAGCAAAGCAGCAGCAGAGTGGCAATTGGGTACTAGTGGGCAAGGATGAAATACCTCAGCAGAGCTTCAGACCTGGCAGGGCAACTGCTTACAGTGTGTTTACCTTGAACCAAGCCTCTTAGTCAGTTTTCCATGTTCTTATTGTAAAGCTGTTACGAGGTGTCCATCTGGTTTTCCTGTTTGTTGTTTGCTTTTTATAAAGGGATAAGGGATTTAGCTGCTAGTATTTTCTTACTGTGCATATAATTGTTCTCTACCTGAATCTATTTTCTCTTCTCTCTCCATCCTCATACCATCTCTAGTTTTGGGCAATCCTCAATATTTTTGCTTGGGGGCCTGAAGCGGGAGGAGGCCCCAACAGCGATGTTCATGCACAGTGGAGATATCATGGTGATGTCTGGCTTCAGCCGTCTGCTGTACCATGCTGTCCCCCGGGTCCTCCCCAACCCAGAAGGGACAGCTTTGCCTTCATGCCTGGACCAAGCACTTCCTTCAGCCCTTCCTGCTGGCTCAGTCATTGAGCAGAGCTCTGAGGAGGATTGGCAGGTCTGTGCCAAGTACTTGCAGACTTCTCGCATTAACATGACTATTCGGCAGGTGTTGGCTGAGGGTCAGACATTTCCAGAGGAATCTGGGACAAACGGAGAGGGCCAAACACCCTCTGAAGACAGTCACCATCAGGAGAACAGCAGAGCCAAGAGACATAAAGCAAGTACAGACAGCTGAGACCAGAACACGCTGATGTGGACTGGACAGGCAACCTCCGTATGGAATTGGGAACGAATGTAATCATGCTAGAAGTCACTTGTCCATATTGGGACTAATAAACTTCTGCAGAATAAATGTTGTCCTTATTGCTGTAAGAAATAGGTTGGGGGAGAAAAAGAATTTCAGTGGAAAAGGAAGATAAGTTTGGTTCTGGGACTCAGGAGATGAACTCTATTGCTGTTTTCTTGCAGATGTTTTCTGAACTTGGTTATCTTTAAAGTACCTTTGTCAGAGGATTTCAAGCGTGGTTCAGTGATGCTCATGAAGTATTTTGCAATCATTGGGCAGAAAGTACTAGCAAAAGATACATAATTGCTGTGTGTTAAAGAATCCTCTGGGGCTTGTAACAAGTATGAGAATAGGCTGCTGTGGGTGAGACCTTCCTGCAGCATTTCCAAGAGAATTACCTCTACAGCAAAAGTTGGTTCATTGATCGGAAACCAGCAGCTCCCTCAAGCTGTAAACCTTCTGTAGTCCTGTGCTCTCCTTTTGCCTGCTTGCACCCCCTCAGCTGCAGCAGAAGCTGCTCTTATGAGCAGAACTGGGCTCTTTTTATTTTTGCACACCTCAGATTTTTGAAAGAAACAATTGGGGGCAATATCTATTGAGAGTATCTCATAGCTCCCAGCTGGGTTTCCTCCCAACAGTAAGTGTGTGACTGAGCCCTACATCCCCATTCTTTCAAAACTGCCTCCCCCTTAAGTGCCTACAGATTATGGTCCTCCAGTCCCAAGCTACCATCTTTAAGGAGCAGAATGACTTGCAAGTAGAACCAATGAAGTTGTAAATTAAGTACCTAAAAAATTAATCAGTGACTATCTCTGTCACACAAAGATAAATGTATTGAAACAAAGAAAAGCACTAGCTTTTGTGCCAGTTCTCTTTAAGACTCAAACCTTCCTATCTGCTTTGTAATGCAATTTTAATTGTTGGAGTGGAATGCGCTGTCCCTGGGGTATTTTGTTGCACTTTCCCAATGAATAAACTTACTCAGTTTTTAAATTAAAGATCTCTATCAGTTTTGAGCTGGCTTTTTTTCTTCTGTTCTTTTTCTCCCTTCAGTGTATTGTTAGTGCTGCCGCATCCCATGTGCTATTCCCTCCAGGCTTCTCTTGGCTCTGCTGCCTCCGCCATCTGCCGGCTCGGGTGGAGGAGCCCTGCCTGTGTCTGCAGGGCTGCTGTGCTTATGGGCAGCTTGGGCTTTGGTGGGCAGTTTCAGAGAGGTGTTGTCTGCAGTATCAAAGTCCAATTTAATATGTACGTGGCAGCTTTTCCTCACAGGGAAAGTGTATCTGCTCTGCTTATTTCATAGCAGGTGAATGTGTGTTCAATTCCTTATACAATACTAGTAATTTAATTTCTAAAACAATTGGATGTGGGTTTTAATATCTTATTCTATGCCAGAAATGTGTCCTTTCTGTATTCTAGGCTTGATGTATTTACAGCTGAGCCCTGGGAGAGTGAATACTATTATGCAGAGAGGTTACAACATGACTAGAAAGGAAAGTTGACTAAGTCTCAGAAACCAGCAAAGCTCCCTTAGTGGCATCTGAAGGTGAGGAAGGGGAGAGCAGTATTTGTTTCCCTACCCCTGAGAAGGCAGAGTCACTCACTTCACTCTTTAGAGGGAAGCAAAAATCTGCCAACTCACTCAGCACCAAAGACAAGAGAAGACAGTCATGGAACTACCTGGTCATGAACTGGAGCTGGTTTCTTCATGTCGCAGGCTGAGGTTTAAAGTCCATGGTTCTCATTTCTTAGGTCTTCAGTTTCCTACAAATATTTAACAAATGACAATCAATCATTATTCCAGGATTCAATTCTTCCTGTGGTTCAAGGACAAAAAAACATGCTGTTTGTCTTCTGCAGTTTCAAATTGTAGTAGGTGCTACAAACCACTGGTCACGGGAAGTATCCAATCCATAAACCTTATGTTTAAAAGTTACTTGAGTTGTGAGTTTGCTGAGTTACTGACTTGCAGTCAAGCTTGTTATCTAATGCCACTGGGGGTGAGAGACAGCCCTCATCTAATTCGGCATCAGACACCCAGAAAATGAAAAGTCCATGACCCAGAAATGGGCACATGGGAAATGACCCGGGGGAAAAAAAAAAAAAAATCATCCATGTACCAAGAGGAACAACTATAAGAGGGGAAAATTTCCTAAGCTGCCAGCCTATGGGAGCATTGGTTCTGCCACCACACGAGTACAAATGAGCAAATCACAGGACTTCTGTGAGCTCTGAAAAATCTGCTTCCAGATTTTGAAGAGGCAGCAATGGCCCTGGGAAGAAAGGCAGGGAACAGGGCTGCATCCAGTGATACGCTCTGCTAATTTTCCTTCTAGGACAGAATCATTTGGAACCATTGCCCTGCTCTACAGAGCTCTCAGGCTGTGCCATTGCACCTCATCTGTTTAGGTTTAGAATTTTTCGTAACACTGATCAAATTTTTGCATCTAAACGTATGCCAAATATTTTTTTGTGTGTTGATACAGGTGCACACTGAGATAATCTCTGTAGCTTTTAATTCTTCTGAAGGAATTAAAATTGTGTCCAAGGCCACAAGCACAAAATTGCATCAGTGGCACAGGCAGCAGTCTTCTAGGATGTCCTGCTGTGCACAGCTGAGGGAAGGGAAAGAAGAGGTCATCTGGACCAATTCTGCAAGAAAATTAATGTAATGAGCTGATTACAGGAAGATAATCATGTTTAATTCAAGGCCACCTGGAAATGAAGCATGTTGTTTACCACACATACTCTGTTCATCGTGTGATCTATAGATAAAGCTAAAATCTAACAGAGTTTAAAACAATTCCTATTTTTTATATAATCAAGAGTAAAGGGAAAATAAAATCTGCAGTTAAATCAGAATCAAAGCAGAGTGGGATGAATACTGGAAGCAGAAAAGGAAACTGCCTGTACAAACTTATAATTTTCAGTCCTCTTGAGGGTACTGCGCTAGAGAAGTTCACTGTTCCAAACTGGGCTGCTGGAAGGTGCCCAAAGCAGATTTTCTGCATGCCACCCGGGCAGGAACTCATGGGCAAGGCAGTCCCTAGAGCTCTACCTGCTCCCAGAATGATCTGAGGCATTTTTCCTTTCTTGGAGCGCTTGTTGACATTTTTTCCTCACTGTCCTACATCGTGTATTTCTATAGATAGTAGTAAGGTGCACCTTAGCTCCTCGATTTATGCTGCATGCTCTGCTGAGCTCGCAGGTGGGGAATACCCAGATGGCAGCACAGTACCTCACTGCCATGGCTACAGGCCCAGGTTGAAGCCGGTTGGCATCTTACGGCGTGCAGACAGGAGCTGGGATCTGCCTTGGTCTATTCATACAAGTCATTCTCATTCTCTGCAGCACACCTGAAGCAGGATAAATTTAACGTGGAAAAGAGACTTGTCGGTGACAAGACTTGTCTTCCGCTTAATTGGGATGCAAAATTAATTGAGCTATAATCCAGTGTGCTCTAAGCATAGTCTAGTTCTGATGAAATCATAAAACTTGCCTGGGTCTGAACACATTACCTCAACAAGTTAACAGAAGTACACGGACTGCAGAAATTAATGATCCAGAAAAATAAGTTTCTGGAGGCCTCAAAAGACCCATATATAAAAGGCCTTTTTTTGGATAATCTCTATGCAAGAAGAGACTTGGAGAGAAAAGCAGTGGGAGTTATCCACAATCTGCTGATGCCTCTGTAAACCCTAATAACCAAAGCTGGTTGAAAACAATCTGTACCATAACGCTACAGATCTGGTACAAGAGGCACAAGATGCAGCTGACACAAGTTTAGCACAATACAAAATAAGTTCAGCCATTTATATTTAGCAAATGATAATCACAAATACCTTAATAAAACCATTTTTCTATACAAAGAATTGAACACTGACTAAGAATATGTTCACATAATGCTCTGGTAAAGTTGAGGTGAGATAAAAGTTGCCATTGTGCAAGTTACAACTTGGCTCATACAAGCTGTTTCCTTACATCATCTTCTGATAGCTGCAGTCAAAGGATCAGAGAAATGGTGGCTGAAGGGACCTCTAGAGGTGTCTAGGCCAGCCTCCCCCTAGGAGTAGTGCTGTTGCAACCAGGCTACCCACATGAGACTTAGAAACTTTCCATAATGGAGACTCTACCATTTGCTTTCTGTAACCTGTGCCAGTGCTGCCCTGCTCGCCTTACGAAGACCTTTCACCGTAGGTCTCCTGGCTGAGTTTCCCAAAATACTTGTAACCATTCCCTCTGCCTTTTTCTTACCATCTGTTACTACCAGGAGTTTGGTTCCACTGTCTTTGTAACTCTCCTTCAAATAATTGAAGTCTACAATGAGACTGGTCCCTCCTGCTCCCCCTACCCAGTCTCCTCTGTGCCACATGAAAGGACCCCCAGGACCCACATTTCACCAGAGATGATGTGCCCTGGGACTTTCCTCACTAGCCCTCTTCAGCACCTTTGCCTATTTCAGATGGTACCCCACTCTCTCTGCTAGTGCTGCTTTCTGTTACAAACAGGATGCCAACAACAAATGGAGTACTGGATCCTAGTTACTAAGTCTGCTAGATCCACCAAATACACTTAAACCCACTGGCTTTTAGGCCCTCGTGGTTTTTTACAGTTAAATAAGTTTTTCCTCCCATCTATATCACAATAAAACAAAAGCAGTAGTTTTGTGGGGTGCAGAATGAATGTACTGTGGTTCCCTATGGATTTATGTTCCTGAAAAATTGTGAGCTCTCACTGGAGCTTTTCTTCCAGCTGAGAATTTTTCCCCATGTGACCTCTTCAGTGTTTAACACATGCACAGTGCACCCTTTTCCTGAATCAGGGTATTTATTGGTTCCATTTCCTCTAGCTAGCTATTTACTAAACCTGCAGGAACTTAATTAGCTGTACAATTTATGTCATTTATCAAATCTAATTGAAATAAACCAACAGGTTCCACAGTTACTGGACAGGAATGTGAGGACACACAGAATTTAACACATGCACTAACCATGAGAACATAAGCTTTATTCCCTTAGGAGGCCAGGCTCAAGAGCCTACTTCTATGCTCTTAATGCAGACTTGCCTGGACTTTTATAGCAGGTCCTGCTCTGAGGGGTTTTGCTTTTGAAGTCCTGGTCGAGAAAAGAACCATCTGGACTATCAGAGTAATTTTAGTCCAGTGAGCATCATCCCCATCCGGTTCCTGCTATTTTAAGTATATGACCCCTCTTAGGAGGAGCTGACTATGCACCGAGACTCTGAAGCGGTTAATCAGCTAAATACTTATCTCCCCAAGATGGTAAATAAGTGTCTGGAGTACAACAGGGAGCCAGATCTGATTTGTATTTGCAGGCAGGGCTTGTATTCAGATAGGCATCACAGAAGATATCTACCACTTCCCCTACGCTGGGGGAGAAGGAAGGGACAAAGTTTGGAAAAGCCAGCAGTAGCTTTCCCTCTCTGCAGAACAGAGGAGATGTTTATCCCTTTGGACAGTGCAAGTTTTAACCTTGTGGAGGCACTTCCTATCTCATTTTTCCCAAGTCAGTAGGGACTATTCTGTCTCTGCCCTTTTCCTGTGGTGCTGTCGAATGTCCTCTTCCACAAAGTCCCCATACGTAGTGGATTCTCCCCTGGGCTCCTCTGTGTAGCCCTTCCCTTTTTGTGTCTGTAATCACACCTCTTTGCTAGGAGGTTGTGCCCTCTGCCACCACCACTCCATGCTTATTTCCTTAACTCAAGTGCTCCGTGCTGCTGGCTGGGCTGAAGGGGACCACTTGCCCACAATACAGCTTTTCTAATCTGTGTCACTATCTCAAAGCTCTTCTAAAAGTTAGGCCTGGACCATGGAAGGTCAGCAGCAAGGCCAATTTATACCAAAAATGTGGGGAAACTGAAAGAGAAATAAGGTGAGGTGGAACTCGTATTTACATGTAGATGTGGCAGTTCGGGATGTGGTTTTAGTGGTGGACTTGGCTGTGTTAAGTTTACAGTTGGACCTGATGATCTTAAAGGTCTTTTCTGCAATAAACGATGCTATGATTCTATGAGGTACAACAAAACACTCTCCAAATATTCTTGTTTAAACTATGTATAGAGAATAAAAAGTGAGTCAGCCTGGAAGACATGCTGCCTCTTTCATCTCTGATGTAGGGAAGTCAGCACTTTACATTAGCTTTTAGCTTCCTTCTAGGTGAATTTAAAACTCATTCTGTATTTACCGAGGAAGGCCAGAAGAATCAATAAAGGCCTTGGCTTTCTAGAGGTGATCATCTCACCAATCATTTCTGTCTCTGTTCTGCGCTAAGGGCTTAGATAAGAAGGTTTTGTTTTTGTTTTCTTTCTCCTTAATGGATAGGTTTCTTAATTAGGATGGGGGAAAAATGACTGCAATTTTGCTGTGGCAAATTAAAACCAAAATGAGGTAGCAAAGAGCAGGGTCTGGAGGGGAGGGGGGCAATCAGAGACAGCTATTGATTTTGAAATGATGGAGGAGCCAAAGGAGAGCACACAGCCTGGAAAAGAGACTCATCTTTCAAAGCACTGTTCTTGCTTAAAAACAATCAGTCCAGGCAGAGGTGTTCGTTGTTGCTGAAGGTTCGGAGTTAGCTTTGTCTCCAGACAGAATTTAAATTCTGGAAAGACTGGCTGGTTCATAAGGGGATGGTTCTTTAGACTGTGGAGCTAGGACTCATGGGATGGAGCTGAACAAAAGAAAACTTCAGTGGAGCATCAAGAATTTTGGCAACAAAAAAATGTTTGGAAATAGTTTCTTCCAAGGATGAAGAAAAAGTGTTGCTGCTCACAGCCAAGGCAAGCAGAGAAAAAGGAACAAACCCAAGCTGGACGTGGGATAAGCACCAGGATCTAACACCCTTCTCACTCCCAGTTGTTGCATAGCATGTCCCATCTTTTCTAGAACAAAGAAAACTGATCTGGCATTGTCTTACTTGGTCCCAGTGGCTGAGACCAAGCTCAGGTACAGCGTTCTGCCACCCCAGTCAGCACATTTGTACATACACTGGCCTTTTCCCCCTTGGCTTTTCAGAAAGCATTCCTCCAAGATTGAAGTCAGATGTTAGTCTGACCTCCTGTCAAATATAGCCAGCACCTGGAAAGACTGTCAGAGAACAGCACCAGACTTGTAATGACTGGTTTGAGTTTGTTGGCTTGTTCTCATTGCTATGATGAAACATGACTTTGCAACAGTGTTGATTTTCAGGTGTCTATGACAAGGAGTCGGGAAGATTTTAGCCACACTACTTCAAATAACCTGCAGCCATTCTAAACCCAGCTGAATGCTGTGCACAAATAAGCCCCTTTTCAGCCCAGACTGATGAAAATATGCCACAGGTCTTTCTAAAGCAAGGGGTTTGTTCCAGACTTGCCTTCTATTCTCCACACTGACATTGCTCCATCAAATCCTTATCACAATGCTGGTGACAAAATGGCATCTCTTCTGTTTCCCATAGGGCTGGCAGTTTGTAGGAGATAGCATGTCCTTGTCCACAGAGCATTTTTCCCTCCCTCGCTCTTCCTCTTGCCTCCAAGCAGTGCTAGAACAAGCGCAACAAAAATCTGTCCTTTCCTTGCCACCTCCTCCACCTTTGTAGCTGAGATGCTGCCATGTCACCTGTTCCCTGCCTGAATCCCAACTGTAGGCAACGCACATAATTAGCTGGCAGAGGAAACTCTTCATCCCCCCCTAGCACCCCATCCTCACTTGTCAGCAGCAGGAGCACACCTCTCTAACAACCACTTCTGCCACTGCTCCTGACATTGACAGCTGCTGCTGGATGTCAAACACAAGTGTAGGGACATGATCTCCTCCGAGCCCTTCCTGGCCCATTGCTGTGATTGTGCTCCAGGAGACACTCGAGTTTGGCACACTGTTTTGATGCTTCAGCATCTACCTGGGCTGAAAGTGGAACCAGTCTGCAGACATCTCCTGGCTTGCACAAGGGTGTTATGCAGCAAGGCAAGCCTTGCTTAGTCTTATTACTACCCTTTTCTACTCCACTAGCACTTCATCACAAGGGAGAAATTAAAGAAAAGAAGGATCCCAAGTGAGCAAGCATAAAGAAACAAAGATATGGCATACTCCTTCTGATCCCTGTGGCCTACTCACCCTGTAACTGCATCACAGCAGGCATCACTGCACACCATTCCGGAACAGCAGAGGCAGCTCAGTGCTGAAGGCTGCAGTTCCTGCCTCCACAGACCTTTAATACTTCCTTTCCCTGGAATTCCCACAAGAAATGCTGTTTTTTCAGGTGGCATGGAACTTGCTGAGAAGCCACGGCTCCCATCTGGAGAGTAAGTGTGCAGGTACTGAGTGTTTAATCCATTGAATATTATTTTCTGCAACAGAAAAGTGGGAGAGAGAGAAACATTAGTCACATACTTGCTTAATTGGGATCTAATAGCCAAGGTCAGTGCTCAGCCAAGAATAGATAGCTGAAGCCTCCCGTGATGTATTTTTGTGATGAGATGTTCATAACGCACAGACTGATCTATTATCGGTTTTCACTATGAAAAATTTAACTATCTCCTGGAACATGCTCAAATCTATTTTGCATCATTTCCTTGCTTTTTCATTTAAAAATATCTTTCCATTGAGACCTCATGACCGCGCAAATTAGCAAGTCCCTGCCACATGGAGAGATTGCTTCACCTCCTCTGAAGTGCAGCCATTTGTTCTTTTGCCAGCCTTCTGCAAGATGACAATACCTGTTTGTCAGTGTCTAGCATGCTTTTCTATGCTTTAAACAAAATGCCTAAAAGGGAAAAGATGAGTAGTTAAGGGAGGATGCTGCAATGGGCACATTGCTGAGGAGGAGGACCAGACTTTTGCCTCGAGCCGTGTTCTGCATGTCCGCAATGTTCCAGCACAGCAGAAGTGACATGTGACCTATCTGCACCTGCCCACAGCACCTCTCGGGTCTCTTATAGCACTTCAGCCTACAGGAGCAGCGTTAACATCTACTTGGTTTGTTCTTTCTGGCTTTTGCATATGGGTCTGTGCAATATGCATCTGTGTTCCTCCCCAAACCATGCATTTCCAAACATTTTAGGCCACAAAGCCCTTCCCTCTCCAAGTTTTCCCCATAGACTACAAAGCAACCATCTCCCCAAACCCTAACTGAGAGCACAGAAGAGATACAATTCATGTGGCTTCACAGACCACTGAGCACTAAACCTAGAGAGCTGATGAAAGAAATAAAACCTCTGAAGATGAAAGGAATAAGGTCTCTGAGGAGCACACCTTAGCTCCTGTGCTACCTGAAAGATGTAGCTGTACCTTCTTTGCAAGGGGCTATAGCACAGGACGTGATCTGATCCAGCTGAGCAAGAGCTGAAAACATACTCTGTGCGGGCACTAACAGCAAGCGTGAATACATGAGGTGCAAGGAGGCTTTATGTTCTAGTGCACCATTTGCCTTCTGTCTATCCTTGCAGTACCTGTCATGGTGAGCTCGAAGCTCCTGGTGCTGCTAGGGTTGAAGTAGTTCACTGTGATGCTCCCTTAGAGCACCTCTCTTGCAGCGTGGGTGCGAGGTCCTCCAAAGGACTGCTCTGCACATGCACAGTAGGTACCTAAGAACAGACAACTGTTTCATACCACACTGCTCCTGAGGACACTGTGGGGACACAGAGTGAAAGAACCATAATTTGTCATAGTAATGCAAACCACAGCCCTTCTGTCTTTGCACTGCAGCAGCCACCAGTGCAGAAGGTACTGAGACAGTGGCCCCCTTCTGCTGATGGAGTGGGCAGAAACCACCCCCATATCCCAGTGGCTACCAGTCTCCCAGTCTGGAGAGGGGGAAGCGTGATCCTCGCCCATTCTCAAAAGAGGGAGAGTGAGTTTGGGGGTTTTAGAACAACACACAAACAATTATTGCCTGGGAGCCTGGCATCTGGCAGGGAGAGGAGATTGCGGTCGCCATGGTAATTCTTCACCTCATTTAACTGCAAAGTAACCTCTGGTGTCATTACATGCAGCCGTGCCCGGCACACAGCACAGGCAGCAAGTGGCCCCTGCATCCGCAGACACAGCAACCCCCTGCCCGCAGCCCACACGCGCTCCACAGCCCCCGCTGGGCAACACCCTTGCCCATACATGATACACAACATGTGTGTGCTGAGCAAATACACATTCCCTCAGGTCTTTCCTCATATCACCTACGCCTCTATATAGCCAGCCAGGCTCACAGACCCTGCTCCTACAGCTATAGGTCCCTCTGCTGCACAGGCATAAGATGCTTTAGAAGCACAAGATCAACGCACGCTCACCCAGCTGCCAAAACACGCACCCACCCTGTCTCCCCCAGCCTTGCCATGACACCTGCCCACAGCTCTTGTACAGTTTATTCCTGGATGCATTTTGTTTTCATGCTGTGGCATGAATGAGGAATAAATTCAGCTCTGTCTCATTCATTTTCCTCTGCTTCTGCCTCTGAGGAAAAAATGTCCCCGAGAAGCAGATCTATAAGGAGAAGGCTGCGTGCCTCTCTGCAGTGCCAACTCGTGGAAACCTGGTGGTCAGGTCATTTGGTGCTCCTGACTGGACCCTGCTGCTCACATTTCTTGGCAGGTAACTATAGGAAATCAATCTCAATTCTGTTTCTCCTCAAAGCACCTTGTGGGTCCCTGCAGGAGGGCTCAGTTCCCTGCTGACAACAGGGAAACAGAAGTCCAGAACAGCAGTGACTGATTTTATAGCACAGCAGGAGCATGGTAGATAGGAGCCATGAGCTGAGTCCATAAGTCCTCTGCTACACAATAGCCAGGTATTGCCCCATATCAAAAGATGAAACTCAGCTCCCCCTTACACCACCAGACACAGCCTGGGAACCTCTTCCAAGCTACCACTGTCACATCAGGTTCCCTCAGCTCTTTCAGAAGGTTCAGGTGTGATTAGAGCTTGGGCAGTGTTACTAGGGTGTGCACAGACCTGTCCTCAGCCAGGCTAGGTGGCAAGTAGAAACTCCTCGGCCATATGTATGTGACAGCTCCAGCCCACAGGAACCAGCAAGCATAGACCCAGTGGAGCCTCAAGTTCCCATTCTGCATGGTGCAACGGTCCTTTTCTGCCTTGTGCTGTGGTGAGTTTTAACAAGCATGTAGCAAAGGCAGACAGCTAGGGATGGCCGTATTGTGAGGGTGACAGTCACCTGACTCTAACGGGGTTGCTAACAACTAAGTCACACTTGTTACTTGCATGCTCTATACGTGTAACCTACAAAATGCTCCCAGAAGTGCTTCAGGCAAAATGAAAGCTGGCAGGGATGCCTGCCATATGCTTTTAGAGCCACCCTCCTCTTTGTAAACCTTTCAAGGTCACCCTGCTGACTTTAGCTCTCTTTCTCTTGAAGTCCCCTACCCCTCCTAGAAAGCACCTCTACATTACCATCCTCAAGCCTGAACACCTTACTCTGAGTATGATCCAGATAATACAACCAGTCATTTGATTGACATCTGGGAGGATGTACCTGAAATGAGATTGCCCCACCTGGCTGCCCAGCACCTCTGGACAAGGCAGTCCCAGTTCTCCCAGGACTGGTCAGCTCATCCTCCCCCATCTCCAGAAGTGACAGAGCACCTGCACATGGCAATTCACCTTCCCACCCTGCTTCCCTCTTTCCCCATCCCCATCATCGCTACCTGCACACCTGGCCATGGCTGAGCTCAGGTTCCTCCAGAGGCAGAGGCCCTGCTTTCAGGCCAGCACAGGAGGTGGGACCCCAGCAGAGTCCATGCTGCTTGCAGAGCCCACAACCAAGCCAGCTGGGGTTGCTCCAGCCTGGGGAAAGACACCTAATGCCTGAGCACACACTTCCCTCTTATGGCCATGCCCGATACAGCAGCTCCTCAGGCCTGCAGCGTCTTCACTGGAGATGGGATTTTCCTGTGAATATTGACACTTTCCATAGTTGTCTCTTACACTTGCCGGGCACAGACGTCTCTCCCCTGCACTTGTGGGGGCAAGCACAGAGCCAGCCTTGTTTGCCTGATGCTGATCAGCAGCGTGAGCAGGAAAGACAACTTGAGTGCTCGATACATGTCCTGCCTGTGGCATCGCGCTGTCTCGCTGAGGGAAGCCCAAGGCCCCCCTTGGTCCTGCGGCAGATTTCCCCCATGGTAGGGCACAGCCTCTAACATCTTTCCTCAAGTTAGGCTTAGCTTTTACTTATTTTGATTTTAAAGGGAAAGTTTTTAACTACCTAGTTATGGGTAGTTAAAGATTCTGTTCAATTTCTCCCTCCCCCCATGGCACTGTATGGCAAAGCCCCTCTCTCTTATATCCAAATAATAATATCTTTGCCAAAAGGAGAGACAGCAGCCTTCTGTTTTCCTGGACTGATGTTTTTCTCCGGACTGAGCTTCAGGTAGCTTGTTCTTCCTGTGCTCCCATCACCCCTATTACCAGACTGGCAATTCAAGAGCAATTCTATCTAAGCTATGGCCACCTTCCCCCAGCCACCCAGTCAGTTCATTTCACCAACCAGAAGGGAAACTAGTCAATTTTCCACAGGATCATCATCTGTTGGATCAGTGAGTTGAACTGACTCACTCTGCAGGTAGAAAGTTGAGCATTAAAAAAACCAAAAAACAAACAAACAAAAACCAAACAAAAAAACTCCTTTAGCCATAGCTCCTTTAGCTCCTTTTGTCAACTTGTCTATCTCCCTTCATCCAGTTTTCCTGAAGAGGAGAGGCAGGAGGATGAGAACCTGCAAAACTATGCTTGGAACCTGAAAAGAAACAAACTGCTCCTTCCTTCCTTCTCCAAGCTAAGATTTGGTCACTGCTCAGGTGCTAGAGTACTGTCCTCAACACCTCTCTTCTCTACAGTATGCTGTCTTCTCACATGCCACCTTTGGTTTAGTTCTGTTCTTCACACAGGGCCAGGTGAATAAGGAGGAACCTGTCCAGTCTCCTGCAGTACCAACAACGTTGTCAGAAGCAGCAGAAGCATTTGTGGTCCCCCTTGAAGTCCACCACAAAAGCCCAATGGTGTTCTGCCAGGCTCAGTGGCCTTTATCAGAGTTTCTCAGGGCACTCTGCAACCATTGATAAAGTGAGACCACATCTGCTATGAACCTCTTTGCCAGGGTACTGATGGGAGGAGGGTTTGGGGTCACTGCCATAGTGCCAAAAGTTAGAGGCCCAGATCCTCAAAAGTATTTAAGCACCTAAAAAGAAGTTAGGAATTAAAACATGGGGGTCTGAGTCCTAATGAGAACGCAGTTATATTGGTATTCAATGTTTTTGCTGATACAGCTGATAGTGCTTGGAAAAGTTCTGCTCAAAAAAGAGCTCTATTCTGCTGACATAAACTGCCTGC